AGTTTGGTTGTCCTCTCTCTCATTTTCGGGTTTTTCTTAGTTTTTTCTCCCTCTTCTCCCTGAGGTTTTTTTTTTGTTGGGGGGGGGGACTTCTGGTGGTAAGGTTTGGAGACTTGGCAGGGAGCCAGCTTCAAACCGTATCAACAGGTCTTTCTGCTTGTCTTCTTTCTTGGAGCAGAGTTTTCTCACCATCATGTGCTACGACCGCTACGTTGCCATCTGCAAACCCCTGCACTACGGGACACTCCTGGGCAGCAGAGCTTGTGCCCACATGGCAGCAGCTGCCTGGGCCACTGGATTTCTCAGTGCTCTGCTGCACACAGCCAATACATTTTCCCTGCCCCTGTGCCAGGGCAATGCCCTGGGTCAGTTCTTCTGTGAAATCCCACACATCCTCAAGCTCTCCTGCTCACACTCCTACATCAGGGAACTGGGAATCGTTGGGGTTAGTGCTTCTTTTTGTTTTGGTTGTTTCATTTTCATTGTGTTCTCCTATGTGCAGATCTTCAGGGCTGTGCTGAGGATCCCCTCTGAGCAGGGACGGCACAAAGCCTTTTCCACGTGCCTCCCTCACCTGGCCGTGGTCTCCCTATTTATCAGCACTGCAGCATTTTCCAACCTGAAGCACCCTTCCATCTCCTCCTCTTCCCTGGATCTTGCCCTCTCAGTTCTTTATTCGGTGGTGCCTCCATCACTGAACCCCCTCATCTACAGCCTGAGGAATCATGAACTGACAGACTCCCTGAGGAAACTGGTAGCTACATTTATAGGCAAAAATAAAGTGTGTCTTTTCTTCTGCAGAACATTCTGAATGTAACTCATTGCAGTCTAAGCCTTTTTTCTCCTATATGTCCCTTTTATCATCAGTGCATTTCCTTATCCTTTTTCTACTTTTCTAATGTTATCCACAAATCAATGGCATTGCTCATGGGATTTCTACATCGATATCTACCATTCTTCTCTAATCCAAAGACTTTCATAAGGTTTCTTCTCTGTACATTTGAGTAGAATAAAGTTCCCTGCCCTGACCTGAGTGTCCAAGATGCTTCCTCAGCCCTTCTCTGGAGCTGCAGGGGCAGTGCCTGTGTGCAGAGCTGGAGGGAAGAGACTCCCAGCACAGCAGCACAGCCTGGGACAAGGGCACTTGCTCTTTCCACATCTGCTCTTTCCAACTCCACACTGTCCTTCCCAGCCCTGCTGTGGGTGTAAGACCTGAGTGCTCTGGCAGCTTGGGCACAGTCCTGCTG